TTTAAGGAAGCTCTGTAGCATCTAGGTGTTACTCTGACTAAAACATCTCCTCTGCCAAATTCTGGGGAGTATAGGCCTCCATTTCTGCACTGCTCTATGAGCCAGCACTTTCTAGTTTATTGCTTGAAAAGACATTCCTGTCTTTTTTCAATTATTAAAATGGAATTTCTGGAGCAAGTAAACTGAATTAAAAAAAAATTTAAAATCAGTCTCCATTATTCTATGTTTAAACATTCAAACTAGTCACTAGCTATCTACAGTCTTGTTTTTATGTTTTTTGGCAGCATAATTATTGCATAGATGAACTTTCCAAATGTAAACCTACTGAACAACAGGTCTGGAAAAGTCTAGCCCATTTTCTTTTTTCAAACAGAAGTTTGTAAAAATGTCATATTGATCAAACAGGGAAACTGAGGCCACCTCAAGCATGAGCAAGAACCAAGCTACTAATGATACTGCTCATGAGCTAAATTGCCATGAAAAGTAATATGCACAAAAGGCAAAGAGAGGAATGGAGTAGGTAGGGTGAGGGGGAAGCATCTTGAAAAGTGAGAACACGTTTGATAGGATCTCCCCCTAAGGGCTAGAATATCACTCCTGTGCCCTGGGAGCCTTTCACTGCTCCTTTCCAACTGCTGGCTTCAGCCTCAACTCAAGCCCTGTTATCCACACATGCACAGTTCTGGGCCATTTATACTCCAAGAGTTACCTCGATCCAACTTTTATAAACATGACAATGTTATAAACCTAACAACTGCTATAAACATAACAGTGTCACAAGTTAACAACTGCATGCACTGCAGTACATCATCCACCTGCCTGGAGTTCCAGTCACTTCTTGCAGGTGCAGAATTCAACACTTTATTATTATTACCTGGCCTCACATTAGTAACATGGAGAAGGTCTGTCCTCAGCTTTGGGAGTACAGGTACAGGGAAACAGGAAAGAGAAGGAAGTCATTAAAGAATTCTGATTCTAAAGATTTCAAGTACTACTTTGAGGGTTTTTTTGAGAAGGCAAATGATAAAAATCTCTCAATTACTTGTAGAAAAAAAACCACATTCCTGCAAGTCCAAAAAGGTACACAAAATATGATATCCAAAAGCAAGTAATGCAGTTGCAGTTCATATTAAAAAGAGTTTGGAACCAGCATGATCTTTCCATGTGCTCCAGGCAAAAAAAAGTTTCTTAGATATACAAACAAAAGCAGATGTGTTGATTTTTAGTGGCACAGTGATTTATCTCTATATATGGTATCAGTACTAGAAAACTGTGTGCAGATGACATCCACATTTTAATAAGACCAGATGTAGTTTGGAGAGCAGGGTAGCAGGAAGGAAACACTTCAAAAATTTTAAAAATATATTCTAGAATTGATTTTTCACTTGGTAATAAAGGGCCTCAAACAATTTAATATAGTAAAATGAAAAGGCAATATGATTATGGAACAAAAGCACTTTCAGAGAAATAAAGCACCATGTAATTAGAAAAACCAAAACCTATTGGCCTGGAGAGCCTCAGCAGAAAAAAACTAAACCCTACCCAAAAATCTGATAACTAGCAGCTGAGGACAATTTTAATTTGGAGAGTGATTACCCACTGGAGCTGATGCCCTTTCTGCTGCAGGGCTGTTTTTCAGATCAAGGAGATGATCAAGAAGATATTTTTAGCCAACGATACTAGAAAGATTATCCAATTCTTGGCAAAATTTACTCTCTTGCTTACTGGGGTTGTTCAGAGCAAACATTTCCATAGCCTTTTCCAGCTTTAAACTCTGTGAAGAGTTAGACCTTCTTTGAAACATATTGAGGTGAAGGCTCTTATTCAGTTTTTCACACGAACTCCTGCTATCCACTAAGGTATCTTGTAACAAGAACTGTATTTTTAACAAGGTTGCTACTTCACAGCAGTAGAAGAGAAGAAATATGAGCACACACAACAAAGCTGTTAAACCCAGTGCTAAAGTGCAAGCTCAAGCAAAGTGAGCCATGTTCCAGCCGTGTCTGTAGGGCTGAGTAGTCAACTAATTAGGTACATCTGTTTGTAAACAGCTGGCAGCGATATAACAGGGATTTTTCTTCCTATTCCATTCCAGGAAAAATGGACTACATTGGATGGGAATAAATCACACACTGATAAAACACACCAGAAAACACTCATGAGGAAACTCATTATTGAAACCTTGATCAGCAGGTTTGCTGTGCCTGCACAAAGCTATGTACTACTGCAGACACAGGGCAAAATAAAGGAAATCATTAAGAGTACGTATTTGAGATTGGAACTATGCAGGCTTCCATCATGAAGCCTCCTTATGGGCTTAAAAGCTCTTTGCTAAGAAATTGAAGAGACAAACAAGAGGCAAGAAAGACATATATTGCTGACAGCCACCTCCTGAACACCTACATTTGTCTACCAAAACTCATACATTTCTGTTTTCTGGGTACAACATATAGCATTCCTTTTTTCTTTTGCTCACCATAATTTTCTAGTAACTATTTCTGACCTCAATTCTTCTACTTTTTGGCTGGGGTATTGGTTTTTATTTGGTTTTGGATCTTTTTCCAAGGAGAAATTTTGACATTTTTGTGCTTTTCATCATACATTTTGTTTTTCAAACACTATGAAATTACTCAGCAACATCTGTCAAGCCAAGGAATTAGCCTGAAAATACTTAAAGGAACATATAATTTTGCCTCCTATTCCTCTACAATACAACCAATATAACAATATAAACCTATTAGGCTGCTTTCCTACAAGAAAAGGCACATGGGACAGAGCTATGTAGATGTGACCACTCTGTCCAGGCAGGCCTTGTGCTGAGCTTGGCAAAAGAGAACAGGGGATAAAATATCCCTAGAAAAATGTCGACAAAATCTAACAAAAAAAAAAAAAAAAAAAAGGAAGCAAACAGAAAGAAGTGAAAGGGTTTTTCTAATGCCATAGAGTAGTTCAGTGGCTGAACAAGTAATAAACAAGTAATTGGAATACAGTTCTTCCCAAGTTCCCTGTATTACCCTAACCACAAGATGTGCTGCTGCATACCAGTGATTATTCTATGAGATTAAGACTTGCCTGTGTCGTGATTCACTGTTTAGAAGCTGAAAACAGACAAACAGTTCAGAAGCATAGTAAGAAATCAATGGATCACTGTTAATTTCCTTCCCAGCATCCATTGTTTGCTAGGAGATGCTTCCACACAGCATTTATGGGAGCTCTCTAACCAACAATGCAGCCCTTCTTAGTCCAAGCAGTGACACACTTTTCCAAGTTGAATTTCCAAGAAGATACTTCAGCAGCTAAAGGTTTAAAATTTCTTAGCTCTTTGTCAAGCTCTTTAAGGGGGCTGGGGGAAAGAAAAGATTGGTAGATTCAGCAGTGAAAATAAATTCCCCAAAGAAGAGGAGAAGTTTTGGCAATGAATAATAAGTGGGAAAAAGGTCAAAACATCAGTTGTGAAAACTCAGACCTCTAAAAAGGTTCCTACAAGGTCTCAAATTTATTTACAGACAATAAATCTATAATTATAAAAATGTTCTAAGATAGGTCAAGATAGCCTTTTCCCTGCAGATTAGTTATCCAAGGCACAAACAAGATAACAGTAACATTCCCAAAGTCTGACTTGCTGCAAAGCTGATAAAGCCACATCACGTATTTTCTGGTCTTGATATGAAACTCATTCAAAACAGCAGACTTTACTGACACAAAATGCTTTAAACACCCTGCAGAGGAGCAAAGGGTTTGTGTTGGGTTTTTTGGTTATTTTCTTATTGCAGCCATTTAGAAACACTGACAATCCTTTATCAGAAGCCCACTGTAGTAGTACTGATATCAAAATTCAGTTCTCAACATATAACTACTGATTTTTACTCACCCTGGTTTTGCTTATGAATGTAAGTAATTTGTTCTTCTATGGCAGAGTAAAAAGTAAGAAAAGTTTCTTCTTAGATAAAGAACACATCAGCAAGTCCTAATAGGTAATTACAAGAAGGTTGCACAGCATCAAGAAATATTTTATAGTATTCTTAATAGGTGTGTAGAATAACATGGAGCCAAACTAATTAAATGTAGAAATTTCTTTACTATTATCTACTGCAGCTAAGGTTAAAAACAGGTATTTTGAGGAAAGTGGCCAGAACTCCAAAAGACAAGAGACTGTGCATTCAGCTGGCTCAGTCATACTGTAGGCTGTACAGATGCTGTGTGACAAACCCTGTCAGAATTACATGATTTTCTCTTTAGACTGGAAACTTGTGGTCCTACAGAGTAGGACTAAGGTTTGTGGTTTACTGATTGGAAAGATCTGCTGTGTCACTGTCTATATAAGCAGCACTGTGGCCAGCCCTTGGCCAAAGGATAAATATATATGATTTCCTAGTCTGCCAAGACATAGGCTCCACTGACATGTACACTTGAAAGGCTAAACTAAACTAACTCACTTCATCTAAGCACCTATGCAATTTAGCAACATCTCAAATCTATAATTGAAATTTCAGCTAAAATTTTTGTGTAGCACTGAGGAGCTTTAACCAGTGATTATTTTCAAGACAGTAGAGCAAGACCTGTAAAGAAAAAAAAAAGATTAGCTCATGCACAGTCATGTTAATAATGAATTCCCTTATGTATCCCTAGGCACCCCCAGGTTAATAGTTAATGCAAGGGGTTTTGAAGAAATTCTGCAAGAAAATCTAGCTTAAGCTAAATCTCAAAAATATAAGAGGTGTCAGATATTGGACAGGATAGTCAAAGAAGAAAAATAATATTTTAGTAATTTGTCCTTGGCAAGATACTATTTTTCTCTTAAAAATTAGAAACAATTTTTCCAGTCATATTTGTACATCATTTTCCCACAGAATCTGACGTAATCAGAAGTTGCTGATAAGACTAAAAAGAAGCACAGCCCTTTACACTTATACCACATTTTCTTTTGGGTGAAAGCTGAAAAGGAATAGCTGTGTTATCTGCTAACAGATCATCAAAAGCCTTCCAGAAAATGAACTTACTGTCCATGTAGAGCAAGCAACAGAATCACTGGGTCTTGATTAACCAGTGGTTAAAATAAACAACTGGGAAGCACCATTCCAATAGCCACTTTTAAAACCTGAAAAGAAATAACTTGATAATTATAATAACTGCTGCTGGAAAAAGTCTCAGTGGTTATTGCTTTATTCTTAAGCCAGGTACAGCCTCAGCTAGGAGGCAGCAAATTCAGGTATTTCAAAATATACTTCTTTAAAGCTGAAGGTACTTGGAAGGATTTTTAAAAAGCAAATAACAATTTAAAAAACCCCAAAACTATGTTAACAATGCATGTTAAAATTTAGTAGCTGCTTTAAATTTTTAATTTGTAATTTTTTTCATGAAGCATCATGAGATAAATGCTGGCACCCTTATGTTTCATTTTGTTAAATTTAGAGTGACCAAAATAATTTTATCACTCAGTGATTGAAATATTTACCCCACATTAAACTCTTCTTTCTTCATGTTCCTTCTGTGTGAGAAAAAAAAAGAGGAAAAAAAGCTAGAGGTGGGAAGTCTACATGGAGGAAGTTTGTCAGTGCTACAGCTTCAGTCAACTCAAAGACTTACAGTGTAGAATACTTGAGAAGTTCTAGCTAACCACGCTCTATAATAAATAATTCCTTTTTAATAATCATAAAATTTTTACTGGGAAACTAGTGAAAAATTATTGGAGACAGCATAGTTGACCATGGAGATAAAAAGCAATAGCTGCTCAGTCAAAGCAGTGTGGTTCCTTTAAAGAAAATCTGTTCCCTCCTTCAACAATTTGACTGCACTAATAAGTTAACAGAATAGCCAATAATATGGTTTTATGTGCTTTTTTTCACAAGGCATTGTGAAGAGCTGTCTCACAAATATTAACAAGGAAAATAAATAGTTGTGAGCACACATGCACATAACCAGAGACATCCACCTCTCTTCCTGCTAGGGAAGAACAATAGTACTGGAACAACCAATCTCCATTTATTAATTGTATTATTGATACATTTATTAGAGATTGGAAAGCAGAACAGAGTCAGGAAATGACTAATAATAATAGTCAATAATAATAATAATAAATAGGCAAAAGAACTCTTTTTTTAAAAGAGAATTAGAGGAATACGGGGGATCAAGAGGAAAAGTGTATTCTGTGTTGCCTTATATTGGAATACACTATCAATACTTAAATTTTTATTACACAAAAAGGCAGAGCATAATATTATTAAATAAATAATTTTAAAATATGATTTTTCAAGAAGAATGTTAATGGGCATCAAGTGTAAAGTCAAGACCAAATAACTTTGTTTGATATGCCAGTAAGAACTGTTAGGTCATGGCTTTTTATACAGGTATATTTGAGAAAGTAAATCTCTGAGAAAGTATTTCTGATATGCAAAACTATGCACTGTGGTTTGCAGAGCAGATGCTGGACTCCTCCCAGGATGTGGGAGCATTCCACACAGAGCCAGGGTGCTAGGAATGGTTATGGCAGAGCCAGAGCCTTCCTCCTGTTAGAAGAGGGTGGCTTATTAGTTTGGGAAACTGTCGCAACCAGCCAGTGGGAAACAAGGGAGCTGGAGATATTCCACTGAAGGTATAGCAAAAGTGGCTTTTCCACTGCAAGCTAGGGGGTTTTTGTTGGGTTTTGGTTTGTATTAATTCTAACAATGTCATCCAAAAACACCAATACTCAAGTTTAGCCTGTACCTATATTGCTGCATGAGCAGAAGTTGAACAGTAACAGAAGAACTTAACCTGAAAAAAAAAATGTTTCAAGTCCAAAGCTCATAATAAATTCTTAGCTTAGGCTTCAAGCTTCAGGGGTCTGGGCAGGCACTTAAAAGCCACAAACACACAGGTGGCCAAACAAACCCTGGCTGCTGCAGGGCTCCAAAGCCACCGCTGAAGGTTTGGGGTTTCACTGCCTTCTCCTGGCGATCTGTTGAGCTTGAGGGGATATCAGAACTAGCTGATTGTGCAGTGAGGTGTCTGACAGACACAATCGATCATGGCAAGAACAAGAAGAACCCTGTATTTGCTCCCCACAAGTATCCCACAGGCAGAGGGTGGGGCTGACATTACAGCCTTTCCCAGCCTGAACACGGAGGAGCCAAAGGCAGACGGGCGCTTTAAATTCACGGCTATGCCTTAACAGTGCTGCAGCTTTACAGCACTGCCTGAGTGCTGTGAAAATAAAGGAGAAAGTTAAATGGAGGCTTTTAGAGTTCCCCAGTAGCTTCTGTCACTCAAAACACAGCCACTCTTAATCCCAGTCCCAATAAACAGTGGAAACCATTCCCCTGAAATTCATGTGGCAAAGCAGCCTAAAGCAAAGGGCTCAGAGACCTCCTGGGTCCTGGGGGATGCCAGCAGCTTTAGCAGTCAAGTCAGCTCATTACAAAAGGCAGAAAACTAGTTCAAAGGTAAACAATGAAATAAAAGACAAATATTCTTCATGGGCCCAGATTCTAGTCAGCCCTTTAAAGAGGCTGTGGGACAAAAGTTCTGGAAGCAGACTGGCTTTTTTTTAGGATTTTTTAGGATTTTTTTTAACTGAAAGTTTTTCTAATTTCAGAGGTAAAGGCAGGATGAGACTTTGCATCCCAAGTGCAGACCATTTTTTCAAGGAAGGGGATGTATTTCAAGAATATCCACTGTTAAAGCACACTCATCAGGTCCCTGCTATGTGAGTTAGTGATTGGAGTTAGAAATTAGAGGTCAGAGTTTTCATGTCTCTTCCTGCTAGGGGTTCACATTTATGCACATTCAAATCAGGTTCTTGGTCCAAGTTTATACACCTACAGAGTTTGTTTTAATAACACCTAGCAAATGGATACACCAACCCTTATTTAATATTGATAAAGGACTTAGCAATTCAAGAGTACCATTGATTTGAAGGTCACTGAAGAAAAATATTATTTTAGAGCATGAAAATAATTATACTAGGGCATTTTCTTTTTCCCTTGATGGCTGAAATTTGTCTCACACCACTGATAAAATCCTGACTTAATGGGTGTTTAGTGTCCTGTGACAAATAATACATACTTTTGATTCTATTCCAAGCAAATAAGTAAACATCAGTACTGAACTGGGCCACTAAGCCTCAGAGAAAGGACAAATAGCTTCCATAATGAAAGAAACATAAAAATAGTACAAGTAAAGACAAACTATTCAAGGTATCACAGTGTGAAAACATTTTGTGATTTCAGAAATGCCAGTATGGCAAGCTTTCATGTAATATTCTGTGCTCTTCAAAAACACAGAGGGGGATCATCTTACCATTTTGAAACCCTTGCTAACAAAAATGCTTGGTTGAGAGCTGTCTTTCATGCCTCCACAGAAGAGAAAGCATAAAAAGCTGTATAACTGGGTGAGGAAATCAACAACAAAAAAACCCAAATAAAACCCCCAGAAACAAATAAACCCCCTCAAACAAAGAGCCAAAACAAAGAAACCCAGCAACAACAACAAAAACCCACACAAGGGGGAGAACTACCATAATACATCCTGAATGGATGGGCAGGGGAAAGGCAGGAATTTGCATTTAGCCCCAGGACCAGCACAGAAGGAAGAAGAAATGAAAGAAGAAATGCACTTCATCTCTCTTAAGGGCAAGGAGGAAAGGCAGAGGAGCAGCAGAATTCCTGTTCTGGTCTCAGGTAGGCTCACCTAGAGAACATGATGCCAATGCTTTAATCCAGACCAGGAGCAGTTCCTATCTTAAATATTGTTGGGACTGTTCTCACTTGTTTTTATTCACATCTCAGAGCATCCATAGCATGTGCTAAATAAATCTGTGCTCTTACTGCTGGTCTAGATGGCAAGACCATCATTTGCCTTAGGGAGAAAGAACCACAAAAATGTGTAGGATGGGGATACCAGAACCATTGATCCTTTTATAAAGAACTAAATCACTAACACAGATATAATCCTATTTGCCATCCACCCCTTGGGCTGGGCTGGTACTTCTCCAAACTGACATTCAAAACAATAAGCACACAAACGATTACAGGCCAGGAAATGGAACAGAGAATTCAGTGATAAAGAGTAACTCAATAAGGAGAAGTGAATGATTAGAGAAGCAGATTGAAAAGAATAAGGCTTTTCTCCCAAACTTTGAAAATTACCAGAAGTCAAAAATTTAAGGCACCTGGGCAGGATATATTACTCTTTCAATTTCTCTGGAGTTCTGAGTGATTTTCAAGCTTTCAAATGGAACATGCAAGTACCACAGAGCCATAGTAGTCCAATTAAAAATGCATTCTAGAACCCAAGGAGACTAAGCTCTATCTCTGGCAACTCAGTGGAATTTATTGGTCCTTGCAGACTGGCTGCTATTATGAAGAAAAGCAACTATTCATGTTAAAGTGTGAGTGTTAATTTAAAAATGTCCCAATGTAACCCAAGTCTCCTGTTACCATACAGCCATCAAGCCATCCAGAAAGCAGATCTTTATGGGGTATAGCATGAACTATTTATTTATTGGTCTTCTGGAGCCATTCTTTATGAAAGAATTACAATCACTTTGCTATGATGGCGGAAGGAAAAAGAGAATATTTGAAGTGTACAAACAGTACAAGATAAAGGTATTTTAAAACAGAGAATAGAACCAAATCTGAACCCTGTTCAAACTGTCCAACTACAGCTGAAAATTAATTATGATTTTGGAAGTACTTCTGCAAATTGCTACTCCAGCTGACATCCCAGCCACAGTTAACCACAAATCAAAGCCAAACCACAACATTTTACTGGGGATATTAGTTGTCACTGTCAGTTCTTCTCAAAAGACTTTTTAAAGAGAATCATAATTTTGGCAGTAATTGCAGCACAGTCATATTTTCAGTTCATCAAGGAGAAAGTTTTAAATAAAGGATTTTATTTCTAATATATTGTTGAATTCTCTACTAAACTTAGGTAAGCTTAAGACAAGTGAAACATTTTGGTAACACTCAGTTTGCCAAGGGATGCCTGATATTTTTCTGCTAACACAATAAAAACCACAATACAGATAAGTGGTTGTGGGGTTTTTTTCCTAGCTGCATGAATCCTCTTATCTCACCTCAAAACATCTGGCAAAATAGGGAAACAGATGCAGGATACCAACATCTTCATGCAAGTCATTCATGACCTAGAAAGAAACAGCTGAAAAGCATGATCCTTTCTTGTGCTGTGCCTCCTTGGGGATGTTACTGTTTGCCATCCCCACTTTGCTGTATTTTGATATAGATTCAGCCAAAACACACATGCTCACACCAGAAGCAAAATGACAAGCACATATAACATTACACCAGTGGTAAGGCAGAACATGAAATTTTTTCTGCAGAGCCTTCAGTGGTGCTCTGGACCCCTCTGGTTGTCATTAATGAGGGGCAATACCCTGCACCCCAACTTTCAGACCATAAAAACCAATTTGCATCTGTTCCTTTGGAAGTAATCTGTACATGACAGTGTTCTATTTCTTAAAATGGTAGACAATAACTCATTTCTAATATTTAAAGGGTTTTTAAAATTAATTCTCCTTTCCTCCGAACCCAAGACAGCAAAGATGAACACAGACTCGCAGCTGAACTCCTACTCACTGTCATGTCCTTGATTCAAAGTACATTAGCAACTAAGCAAAAACAAGCCAGACTGTCAGAAAAATGGTTCAACAATTTCATATGTTCAATAATTTCATCTGCACCACTAGAAGTGACAGCAAACAAACTGCATATTCCACATATGTAAAATAAATGCATAATTACTAGCTAAAATTTCAACCTTTTTTTTTGTTTTTTGGAAAACATAGCTGGTTTGGGGACCCACAGACTCAACGTGTATGATTTTAATTTAGGTTTTTCTGTGAAAATATTATCAAGTAACATAGTTTTTTTTAGAAGAAATGTCACTAACTCAGAAACAATGTAACAAAACCAGCTAAGTTTGCTCAAGTAGTGTCCCATTTTGCTAGAGAACTGGATATCTTCTTGTTGAATATAATTTTATTGTAGCATTTTTTAATTAAAATATTTAGAGATAGAAAAAACAATTGTGAATGCAATACATAACTGTGCTATTGACAAAGCTGAAATTTAGCAATGGCAGGAACACAGAGTACCTTTGACAGCACTGGTGTTTGTGCAATTGAGCTGGAGCACCTTTCCTGAAAGATGTTTCACCTGAAGGCATGAAAGGCAACCAGCATGGGAGTAAACCATCAAGAAAAGATTTAAACTATGATTTTATATACTTAGCTTTTATATTTCCCAGGGTAAAAAAGTGCAAGACCTTTTGCTATGGTTTGTAAGGTGAGAACTAAGATTCTACTGGGACATCCACCCATTCCTTCATGTCCTTATTTACCTAGCAATTCACTTCTGACACTTGTAAGGAATGTCTCTGACAGTGCTGACTGGGATGAATGTTTTTGACTCAGGGACAGGGATGCTGTGGCAGAAACAGTGAGGTGGGCACACATCAGCTGGAGAAGGTGTTTCTGTAGGTACACAGTCACACTCTGTAGCTGGCCCTGGCCTGCAGCTTGGGCTGAGACAAGTGGAAGAAAATAAAATGCAATCAATAAAGGTGGAAAAGTAAACACTATGCTTTTTTCACTTGTTCATCAATAAACATACTATCTGTTCATTGGCTGTCTACATTTCTGAGCAAATACGACATTCCATAAGGTAGAAATATTGGAAAGTTAATTTTGGAGCAATTATACCCTTGCAGACTTCCTCAGCTTTCATTTTTATTTTTCATTCAACGAGTTATTAGTGTTAATGATACCCTTGGCTAATCCCATCCTCACAGGACCAGGTGGTACATGTTAACACTTCCAAATTAACAGCTGTGTTTCAGATAGAGACACTGGTAGGCTTGTTCAGCCCTTGTCTCACTGCATTGGGCAGGGTCAGGTCAGTACTCACGGGCTGGCACCAGTCTTAGCTTAAGAGGTTCATTGTAAGGGTCTGCAGTAGTGTTTAGGCGAACACAGAGAGTAAAAATAAAGTTTCAGGTTAGCAGGCAAGAAAAATTACCATAAGAATTCAAAATATTCCAGTTTTACACCAAGAAGAGTGGTATACTTTTCCCTAAGGCATGAGTGCCTTTACCCTTCTGGTTCATTTATTTAGTGTAATCTTCACTATAACTGAATTTTTCTTAT